CTCTCTCTCTCTCTCTCTCTCTCTCTCTCTCTCCATATATATATATGATATGAATGAGGATGTTGGATCCCTGGAACTGGAGTAACCCAGTGTGGGGAATCCAACCCAGGTCCTGTGCAAGAACAGGAAGTGTTCTTAACCATAGAGCTGTCTCTCCAGACCCCATGTCTTATTCTTTATTTATGGATTCCCCTGTCTGTCCCATTAATCACATCATGCACTTAATGTTTACATGACCATAGCTTTATATAAAATATTTTAATATGCTGAACATGTGCTTCTCTACAATTTTCCTGGTGAATTATACAATATTCCTGGTTTGTTTTCCCATGCGGTCTTCAGAATATTCTCATTTAGTTCAAAATTGTGTGATTGTGTTAAATTCAATTCGATTCTTTTGTAAATTAACTTAGTGGAAAGTATGTCCTTGTACCTAACTCTGAATCATCCCTACAGTAACACCATGTTCCCTTACATGATTTCTAGATGTCTTCTGACCCACCCTTGGGAGAACTTCTAATTTGTCTTTGTATAAATCTTGCATATTTCTTCTTACATTTACTTCTACAAAATAGTCCTGTTCTTTTCGTGAATGAGGTCTTTTCTTCCATTATATCACTGAATTGATATGTCTTAAAAGGGGGTGCAGCCATCTTCCTAAATGAACTGTCTGGATACTGTGCATATTCTGGTTGATTAGTTTCATTTTCTAGTTACAGGATTCCCTTTGCCCACCCACTAATTTCTTCTCTGATCTAATAAAACAAGTGGCTATCCTTTTCTTCTTGGCTTTGAGGCAAATGCTTCTACTATTCTATGGCTATTTATCAAGTTTAAAAAGTATACGTTGTTTTAAATCTTATTAAGCATTTAATAAGAATCACAATTGAATTTTATTAAATATCTTTTCATTATCCATGGAGAGAACAAATAAATTCTCATTTTTAAAAAATATCTTTTCATGAGCATGAGTGTTTTGCCTACATGTATGTTGTTACATGGAGCATGTTCATGCCTGGTGCCCGTAGATACCAGAAGAGGGTGTCAGATCCTGTGGAACTGGACTTACAGGCTGTAATGAGCTGTCTTGTGAGTACTAGGAAACCAAACCCAGGTCTTCTTCAAGAGCACCCAGTGCTCCTAACCTCTGAGCCATCTTTCCAGCTATAGCACCTCACTTTTTAGGTAGTAAGATGGTGAATTTATTAGCATATATTTGAATACTTAGCTTTCCAAATTCTGGAGCAAATTTTATTTGCTCTTGGTATAATTCATTCAAATGTGCTAGCAAATTGTATTTTGAGTCTTTGCAACAATTACTCACAAATAAGTTCCGTATGGATTTTTCCTTATGCTCATTCTGTTTGGGGTCAATTACATTACTCCAAACATGACAGTTATATTAGTTTGTATTAAAAAAAATAGGGGAAATGCCTTCCCTTCATGTGTTCTTAGATACTTTAAGAATGTTGGTGTTAGTTGTTCTCGGAAGTTAAATAGAAATACCTGTGAGAAAAACAGTGCTAAGAATCTATCAGGATGGCCATAGGGTGCTAAGAATCTATCAGGATGGCCATTGGGTGCTAAGAATCTATCAGGATGGCCATAGGGTGCTAAGAATCTATCAGGATGGCCATAGGGTGCTAAGAATCTATCAGGATGGCCATAGGGACTTTCTAGGTCTCCTCCATCACTCAGTCTGTAGTCAGAGAGAGAGGGGAAAGAGGAAGAGAGTGAAAAGAGGGAGAGAGAGGAATGGAAATTAATTAGTTTGGATTAATTTAGGGGATTAATTAGGTTGATTAATTAAGGGGTAATTAGTCTGGTGACAGAATGCCTGATGATAAACAACGTAAGGGGGTCATATTCAGTTCATCTAACAGTTAGAGGGAATTGGCTATCATGGCAAGCATGGTGACAGCCACTTGAGCTGCCTGGTTACACTGCATCCAGTCAGGATCTGAAGCACAGGAAGTCCTTGTTCTCAGGTAGCTTTCTACTGTTTTATGCAGTGCAATCCTCAACCCCAAGAAGGGCACTGCCCACTTGAGCTCCTAGCAAGGATGTTGACCCCTCACAGGTTCAGAAGAAGCCAACCTAATCTAGATAATCCCTCATAGGTGTGCCCAGAGGCTTCCCTCTTAGGTGATTCTAGATCCTGTGAAATTGATGATCAGTATTAACCATTACAATGTGTGTGAGGCCAGAGGTCAGAGTCAGTCAGTTACCATGATATTGTTGTTTGCGACATGTCTCAGTGTGTAGTCTTGGCTGGCCTAGAGCTTGCTATGTAGATGAGGCTGAACTTACAGAGATCTTCCTGTTTTGATCATCTTGGTGGTAGTGTTCATGCTCACGGTACTGACCACTGAAGCAATGTTCTGCATATACCAAGAGAGAGCTCTATGCACAGTCCCTTTTACTTTACAAGACATAGTCTTCTTGAATTGCCCAGGCTGGCCTTGAACTCACTCTGTAGTCAGAGTGAACCTTGAACCTTATTGGGACTACATTTTATGAATATTCCATGACCATTAAAGATTTGTCTTGATGGCCTGGAGAGATGGCTCAACAGTTAAGAACACTGACTGCTCTTCCAGAGGTCCTAAGTTCAATTCCCAGCAACCACACAGTGGCTCACAACCATCTGTAATGGGATCTGATGCCCTCCTCTGGTGTGTCTGAAGACAGCTACCATGTACTCATATACATTAAATAAGTAAATAAATAAATGTCTTTTTTAAAAGATGTGTCTTGACACATTTGTTTTAAGAACCGGAACTCTTCTTATCAATTCTGTTATGTTATTTATATCACTTGTGTCAATTATTACATGACTGTTGTTTTCGTCATGGGCTGAGAAAGCCCATTAAGTTATTATGCTAAATTCTTTTTTGTTGCTTACCAAGTTTTGTTGCTTATCCCAAGTCAGTTTTGTTTGATGAGATTTAATACTATATATTACTTGAGCATAGGTACTAGATGACCATCGAGGGTTTTATTTATATCCTTATATTATTTCATGCTTTGGGTTCTGGGTTCAAGTTTGACTGACATTTGAACTGTTGTTCTCCTTTGCCTTTATGTTGGCTTCCAGTCACATTGAGTGATTGTTACCCAGCACAGAGCAGAGCTGTCGTGATCTAACATAAAGGTTTTATCTTAGGAAACACGATTAGCTCATTTGTTGCTATGTCAGATGACTCTTGGCATAGGTTCTGTTTTTCATTTTTGTTTTTGTTTTTGTTTTTCCTGGCTTTCCTTGCTTTTCTGCTAGCATTTCATTTGTAGAAATTTGGGACTCTTTCCAGTCATCTCCTCTATTGCACATTGTATATACAATTAATCCTCCATATTTTTATTCTCTAGATACTTACAAAAATATCTCTTGTCTGTGATGTTTGGAAAAGTACTAAAAAAAAGTGTATCTTGTTAGATCACTTTTGTTTTGTAACAAATTATCACAAAATATGGCCACTTAAAACATATCTATTATCATTCAGTCTCTGATGGTTAGAGACAAAGGCAAGGCTCAGCCAGGCCTTCTGTGTCTCAGTGATTTTACAAGATTATGCAGAGGGCATAGGCCTGGCCTACAGTCTCATTTGAAGCTCAGCTGGGGACATGTTTGTTGCTGGACTCACTGCCTCACTGAGGAATTGTTGGAAGGCCCCTGTTCCTCGTAGGTTGGAGAAACGACTAAAGTTTCATGCTGTCTACTTTGTCGGGTTGGGCTCAGTTCACTGTAGCATGGTCTTTTCCAACATGGCAACTAGTTTCACCAAAGAAGGCAAGCCTAGAAATCAATTCAGGGAGCCTTTACAGAGACCAGTGTTGTATGAGATAATGATGATGTCACATCCTGCTGTTTGTGTTGCATTCTGTGGATTAAAAGTAAATCAGAGACAAAGAAAAATGGTAGGCGTGGTCATCTGCAAAGATGAGTGTGGAAATCAATGACTTTGCCCAATGCCTCCGCCATCAGCACAGTCATGAGGGGCTCAAAACCATCCGGAGGATGATGGTAACACTCAGGTTGCAGATCTGTTAACAGCTTGGCAGTTGACTCCTCCAGACATGTCAAGGGAAAGGAAAAAAGAAAGTACAGACTATCAAATACTGCAGGGGAGCCAGCAGCCATGTAGGCTCTTGCAGAATACATATTGTCACAGATTTTAGCTAACAGGTACCTGAAAATGCTTGGAGGATGGGGACAAGGACAAGACAGAGAATGATGAAAGCATTGAGGACAATGCCAAATTTAACTGAGCATACTTGAAAACTATCCTGAAGAGGCATTGTGGGCGGCTACACATGGGGCCCAGGCTGCCCTTCTAAAGCCTCCGTTGTGCTTACTCCCCCCTTTTAAAAACCAAAGCCACCAGTGTGATTCCCAACACCAGAGTTTTGCCTGTGCTTGCAGTGTATGCAAACGAAACCCACTGTATTCTACTGTTGTAACCATGATCTGCCTGCTCTAATGCCGAAGCATTTGGCTTGTTCTTACCTACTAACACAAGTCATATTGAAACGAACATTCCTGACATCTTCACAGAACATATATTCAGATTTCTTTCCGGTATATTCTTGGGAGTGAAATTATAGATATGACAGTGCACAATGCCTGTAAGAAATATTAATGAATAACTTTCTGAAGTTGTTCAAAAAATCCAAATGTTAACATCAGTATATAGCAGTTCCTGTTGGCTGTATCCTTGTCAAGGTTTGGAATTCTCCAACTTTTTCCAGTCTATGTACAAGTATCTAAAGATGGTCTTAATTTGCCTTTGCCTGATGGTTCAGTAGGTTTGGGCATATTTCCATATACTTAATTGCCATTTAAATATTATCTCATGAAATGCTCAGGTCTTCTGCCCATTTTCCCACTAGGTCTTTTTTCTTATTTGATCTGTAATAGTTTTAGTTTGTTGTTCTCTCTCTTTTTTTTAAGTGCTAGATACATTTTGTTGGTTATATTTATTGCAAATACCCACCCCAGTCTATTGCCAATACTTTCTCTGATATTCTTATTCTTGCCTTTTAATAAACACAAGCCCTTCATTTCAATGGAGTATAACTCATTTCTATCTTCTCCTCCTTTGTTGTTGGTACTGTTTAGAAGGCTCTGTCTAACCTCCCACTCTTTGACTTTGATAATTAGGGAAGTTTCATGAGAAAGCCCTGAACATAAACTGCACAATAAACAGTTCACCCCACCTCCTTCTTCTCTCTCCTAATCCTAAATTTGCCTGCTCCCTAACTGGGCTCCTGGGTCTGCCTTGTGTCGTGACCACGTGTCTGAACATCACTGCAACACTCTGGAGGAACTCTTAGGTGAGAGTTCCAGGGATCAGGCTTTTAATGAGGTGCCGTCATCTTTATGGGAGCAGCTGTGCCATGCCTGGGTTCTCATCTTTTTACTGTTCCATAGAGAGGTACACAGTAATGGGGACAGGTCAATCTCTCTGGATCCACATGTGCAGTGTTCCACTTAGGTCACTGACTCCTTCAAATGCTCAGACCAGCTCCCACCTACTTGAGAAGTGAGAAGGAGCTGCGAGCTTTCCTCCACTTGTTGTAAGAGCCCCCACCACCACTGTTTTCCTTCCTTTCTACTTTATTTTTGTCCTTCCAATCTCCACACATTTCTTTCCTTCAGACAGCACAGTTGCACATCTGCTCGGTGCAGATGTTTGAGACTGCTTGGAACAGCAGCCTTCTAAATTGAGCACAGCACGCCCTTTGCAAAACTCACTGTCACCTCACTGTGTTGTGCTGTGGGTTGGGGGGGAGGTGAGGGGCGCAGCGTGTCCCTCATGCTGCCTGGATGGCACCAGCTTTCCGCGGGCCACACAATGAAGGGTAAGGTCTTCCCGTTCACACTCAAGCTTCTTAGCCTGAATTGGTTTGTCATCCTGGAAGCAAGCTCTGTGTCTTTAAAAGCATCGTAGGAACATCTGTTTCCAATTTTCAGGCCATGATCATGGTGAGGATTTGGGTGCAAGTAGTTTATGTGGGAAGCAATCCCAGGAAATACTGTGAGGGGCCATCTACAGGGGGAAGGTGTAGAAAGGTACATTGATGGGTATAACTCATCAACCGCCTTGAGCAACAGACTGTCCCACTAGGGCCCCTAAGCCACGTGTAGAACATAGCCCAGAATCCCTCTCCCAATGGATCAGGGTCAGCCAGCCTGCATCTCTTATGGTTGATGATCCTGTCCACTCACAAGTCCTCTGGGGAGGAGAACAGCCATGCCTGCCCTGGTAATTTTGATAATTTGTCTCATTCTGAACACTTTGTCAATGTCCAAATGTCTTATTAGTACAGCCAGGAGTCCGTCTTTTTCGATGCCTATTCCCGTTTTAGTAGAATTGCTTTAGTTCTCTATTCATGGACGTTCCAAGTTTCTCTAGGTAAAATACTGTAATAATTTATGCCCAGCTCAGCAGAGGCATAAGCCAGGCAGGGAGAGTAAAGGCTGCCTCTGCTTTTTGGTCTCCTGTATCTGGCTCCTATGGTCTCTGCTTAAATCACCATCTCACTCGTGGGACCCTGGTCTCGAAGCTGCCTCTGAAGTCGGGCTAAGCCTGTTCCTGTTTCCTTTGTCAACCCATGGATATCTCCTTCACCCCGTGCACCCAGTGGAAGGGATCTATTTACTGACCACTCCTGGGAAGCTCCTCCAAGAATCCCCTGAGTTAGACAAACCTCTCTAGGAATAAATGCAGAAATTCCACTGAGCTGAATAAACCAGTTACATTTTAGAGTTCCAGACTCATGACCCTCTCTTCTCTGCATGTGTTTCAAATCCCAAATCTGAGCGGTGATTTCTCAATGGCTATGACCCCAGTTGGGACCTCCATCTGGGAGTGCTCTGGAGGTGCTCATGGTTGCTTCTCTTACCCTACAGCATCTGATGTGTGCTGGTCTGTGGTGTCTGGTACAGGGAGACACATCCTGCAAGACCAAGCTGGACCCTCCCCTGGATGGTACTGAATGTGGAGCAGACAAGGTAACTAACACCAGCTTCCAGCAGGCCCAGCAAGCAACCGCACATCTCCTGGACACCGAGCCTCCCTCCATCTGGAAGGCAGTATACTCTGCCCAGGAACCTCTGAAATACCCCTGAGCACTCTAGGAATACCCATGGAGCCCATGGCACACAGAGTGTCTGTGTCACTCCTTGTTTCTTATGAAGCCACAAGAATCAGTCGTTTCCTTGGTTCTTTTTATTAAATGAGCTCATTTTGTCAATTTTCTTAAAGAGGAAAGGTTGGGCTTTTGTTTTGTTTTGTTTTGTTTTGTTTTGTTTTGTTTTGTTTTGTTTTGTTTTTCAAGACAGGGTTTCTCTGTGTACCCCTGGCTGTCCTGGAACTCACTCTGTAGACCAGGCTGGCCTCGAACTCTGAGATCCACCTGCCTCTGCCTCCCAAGTGCTGAGATTAAAGGTGTGTGCCACCACTGCCTGGCAAGGGGAAAGGTTTTGAATGAGTGGGTATTAAACAGGAAATGAGTTCGTTCTAGCTAGGTTTTATTCAGCTACCTGGTCCTTATGAGAGGGTGAGACTCTAAGGGTGTGAGAGAAGAGGTGGGCAGGACCTGCAGCTCCACAGCTTCCTCTTTAGTCCTGTGTGCAAGCCTTCATTAGTTGGTTTCTTGTCTCCTCTGCCCTCCTCCTTTCTCCTAGCCCTTCCCCTTTCCCCTCCTCCTTCCCTTTTCTCCCTTCCTCCATTCTCCCCCTTCCTCTCCCCTCCTTCCTCTTATCCTCATCTTCCAGTTTTCTTTCTCTCTTTCTTTCTTTCTTTCTTTCTTCCTTTCTTTCTTTCTTTCTTTCTTTCTTTCCTTCCTTCTTTCTTTTTTCTTTTTTTCCTTTTTGTCCCTTTTCAGATAGAATCTCTGTATATACTGCAGGCTGTCCTAGAACTTGCTGTATATCCCAGACTGTCCTTGAACATGTGATTCTTCAACCCTCTCAATCCTTCACCTCTCAAACGCTGGGATTTCAGGCCCCTTACTACCATGCCTAGCTTATTGGAAGCCTTGAAATAATTAAAACAGAAAGTAATGCTTTGTTCTGATGTTATGCTTGGGGAGCACTGGGCCACACCCTCAGGGAAATCTGTTTTAGAGACTGGCTTCCTTTAGATCTTCAGAAAGGATACATCTACCTACAGCTAATCCCTCTAGTCCTCCATCTGCCTAGAGCAGGCTGGCCTAGGCCTCCCATGGCTGGTTAGAAGCATGCACCACCACATCTGCCTTTGACTGTTGTTTCTAAGTACTAAATCCAACCTTGAAATTCTGGCCTTAGATGCTGCAATTGTTGCCCTTCTGGAGAGAGATACACATGCATTATTCAGAGTTTGCATACCTTTGGTTGTGTTCTTCTGCCTTGTGGAGCTATCATTTCTTGAGAATTTAGAAATCCTCTGTGGAGTACATTCCCTGTATAAGTTTGTGGCAAGCTCCAAACTCCAGGGAGATTGCATACCAGGCTGAGCAAGAATTGGCTAATATGTACACCCTGAAATACTCAACTTCTGCAGAAATTTCAAAGTGGATTTTGACACCAAGAGGGAATCGATCCTCTGTGGGAGTGAGTGGCTTGGTTGAGCGTGGCCCCTCTGTGTGTTTCAGTGGTGCCGAGCTGGAGAGTGTGTGAGCAAGACACCCATCCCAGAGCATGTGGACGGGGACTGGAGTCCATGGAGTGCCTGGAGCATGTGCAGCCGAACTTGTGGTACAGGAGCACGATTCCGGCAGAGGAAATGTGACAACCCCCCGTAAGTTCCCCCTCAGATCCTACTGCAAGGGCATCCCACACTGTGGATCTTTTCCCCAATGCTGAGAATTGTCTTCAAAAGGGAAATAGAATAGATCACAGTCAAGTTCAAGGGCCTTGAGTGTATCATGTCATCTTACCTATGCTAAACAGAGAGCTACAGTGGGGTCCCAATGGGAGCATAAGCTGGCTCCATAATCCCTTACTTGGCTGTGTTATAAAGACTCCCTAAGACAGCTAGATGACAATCTGTCTTGACTGCATCATGGTCTACTGAGTTGAAGGTCATTCTCAGGAAGTGTGGAGACTTTCCTGAAGGAGAGGTTGACCTTCAACTTGCTGTTGGCAGATTTGGGAGCAGGTTTAACATGTGCCGGGAAGTATCTATGGATGGATTCAGAGTTTGCTCATCTAAGTCATTTTCACTGTTTCTCTTTCTAGAACTATCTGGCAGGAAAAAAAACAAACAAACAAAAAGGTATTTCTAAATTCCTTTTCATGGACTATGATACACCAAAGACCCTTCCTGTTCACCCCAGGAGATTTGCCCTGAAGAACTCAAGGATAGATTTTTGTGCTCCAATATAATAATTAACATCCTCATTGGTTTTCTCCTCCTTTGAACTTTCCCAGTTTTAAACATCCTCTTTGAGATCTACTTTCTCTCTTGAATGTCTTCAGTCCGATCTAGTCTATTTAGAGAGTAAGTGTTAAATTGTGTCTAAACATGAAATGGTTTTCCGCTTCAAAGTCATATGGATGACTAATAAGCAGATACCTCTCATTTGTAAAAAACCCAGATGTTCCTGCTGCATAGTTAAATCACAGGGGTGATTGGATCCTTCACTGCCCCAGGTGATGCCAAGAGCTAACCAATGCTAGGAGAATGTCCTTTATAAGGAGGCGTGACATCCATAGTTTAGTGGGTGGCCTAAAGCGATCTGTAACAATTGGTGTTATGTAAAATGTCTTTTTCAATTGAGAGACAGGTAATGTCTGGCACACAGTAGGTGTTTAAACTGTTAGGAATGACTTTCTTAACTGAAAGCCTAGATGACCTCCTACTAAGGGGGCAGGCCAGAGGGAGATGATTAAATACCTTTGGCTGAGTGGTGATATGTGATTGGAGGGTAGGTTCTTTTTTTTTTTTTTTTTTTTTTTTTAAACATGGCTCAGTTGAAAGTCATAGCTCCGACTCTCAAAGGAGAGATGTGGGTTTGGATTCATAGACCTGAGCTTTGACCCCAAGCTATCATAGTCACTGTCCATTTGACCTCAAGGAAAACTCTCCTGTTCCCTGGGCCTTAGTTTTCTCTGTAAAGAGTCCACTTGCATGCAAGAGGAGGAAGACCCAAATGTGAAAACTGGCACAGGCCAGTCTTCAAGTCCAGACATATTCCTTACACTATAGTCCCCAGTAGCTTCTACTTGTCCGACTGTTAAAAATTGTAAAAATCTGTGGGATACCTTTGACATTGCATAAGTGGTCCTTATCACTAGCAGAACCAGGATGACACCACCCACCTTGTCCAGTCTACCTCACAGAGCTGTACTGCAGCTCAGCACAGAGTGGGAGGGGCTTCCACGAGTGTGGAAGGCTGTCTGTGTTGTACTTAGAGCTCACAGCCCTTGGCTGAATACTGGTCTCCTCTGACTTATCACATATGTCAACCTTATCAGGTGATACCCAGCAAGCACATGCAGAGCCTTTAAATGTTCAACATTCCCTGTGTCCTGACATGCTGGGCGGTTTGATTTCTTTAGGTGACAGCAGTACTTGTGCACATCACACGATGTCCCCAGAGCTGGGAAAATGGTTTAAGCACACTTTTCAGGGACCAGTGTCACCCTGTTGTCTTGCAGTGCTATTGGCTAAGATCCTCCTGCAGGAGACAACATGCAGAGGAGACATTCCAGGGCTTTGTAGCAACTCACCAAGGCTCTTACAATCCTAACTGCATCTTGGCATGCCCTCCTAGTGCTCTATTCGAGTCTCCTTAAGACTTCCTAGTTCCTAGAATTGTGTTGCTGTGCCCACCATGGCTTGCCCTGCTGTGGGGTTCTATGTGTTGGGAGTCTAGTCCCATCCCTCCAGACCCAGTGGCCCCAGAAGAGACAGTGCTTACACCATTTTCTTTCACGAATTTGCTTTCTCAACTGGTGCTCACCACACCGTCATAAATTTACCTCTTCTTTACCTCCTGTGCCTTGTCACAGAGAATTGAGAGAGATAAAAGGACAGCCAAACACACTGGTGGCTGTGGGACAGACTGGTGCTTAAAATGTACCAGAAAGAGAAGGCCACTGTTCTTGTTCCTTCAAAGTCTGTGTTCTTCTAACAGATTTTTTTTTTTCCTGCTCTAAGTAAGCATTAGGAATAAATAATGCCAGGCATGGTTTACAGCAACAAGCAAAGACATACAAAACCCTGCCCCCCCTCCCACAATTCCCCTTACCTCAATTTCAAACCAGAGCCCTTGTAAGCTACACTCTCTTCCCTGCTTACTTCTACCCTCTTCGTCCATATCACCGCCATTTCTGCCTTACTCAAGGGCACAGCCCCATGCCCATGGTTACCCCCCCCCCGTCTCCCATGCAGCTGTCTATAACAAGTCAGGTGAATGGGGCCATTGTCACCACATAGCAATTTCCTGAAGCACTGTGGAATAGATGGGCTCTGTTGGCTATTAGCCAGGCAGTTCTGTGGAAGAGGCATCTTTTTTTGAATCCCCGTTGTGCAGATACAAAACAGAGTCATATAGCAGCTAGATGATTTACCCAAGGTCACACAGGTAAATACAATGGCTTGGTAATTTCTCTTTAAAAGAAGAAGGAGGAGGAGGAGGAGAAGGAAGAAGAAGAAAGAAGGAGAAGAAGTCCAAAATCAAGGGTATCCACAGGATTGATTCCTCCTTGAATGCCTGGAAGATTGTTTGTTGTATTTGTCCTGGCTTCGTAGCTCTGGTGGTCCTTGTCCTCCCCAGCTTACAAGCATACCACAGTCTACCTGCACCTTCATGTGGTCTCTTCTTGTCTCCTAGAAGTACGTACCACTGGATTTCAGGTCCGTGTAGTCTGAGATATCCTCAGCTTAAGATCCTGAAGTACATCCCCTTTAAAACCCCTTTTCTTAATACAGTGACATTCTCATGTTCCAAGCCACCATGTCTTAGGGGACCAGCATGACCACCATTCATTCCACCCCCACCTTGAAGCATTTTGTCTGCTCTTCAGCTACAATGGTCCAACCCAGGGCCTTCATCAGCACTCTCCTAGTCCTAACTTGCCTTTGCCATTCTGAAGATCTCAGTGTAATTCTCTTATCCCCAGAGGAGCCCCATGCCTGACCACCATATTTAAAGTGGGGTTCAGCTTCATTCTGTCTAAGCATCCTCCTAGCATTGCAGCTGCTCTGCCACTTATATTAAACTGAGTTTTGCTTTGTTCTCATTGGCCTTGGAGCTTCCTGTAGGCCTAGGGCAGGCTCCGCCTTCCCTTCCCTGCCTACCGCAGAACAGTGGCTCAATAAAATATGCTGGGACATACTGCTTTCCCGGGAGAAGCAATCTCTCTGTCTTTCCCAGGCCTCCATCACACATCCCTAATGTCTTTCTTCCCTTCAGAAACACAAAAATTAACCAAATTCAGCAGGCCAAATAACAGATCACCAATAAGCCCCCTTAACCTGTATCACCTTTTGGATGCTCTAACAAGCTACCTTTCCCCTGCAATGCTGTCACTTTAGCCAGAAATGCTCAGAAATAAGCCTGAGCATGTCACTCCAGCCTTGGGTATTTCAAGTTAGAAAATGACCTGAGTTTGCTCCTGCAATATTGACACCTTGGTAGTCAGTCTGCTCACTTGCTATGCGCTCAGCTCCATTTCCTGTTGGGAATGGGAGCAGCTTACCCTCTCTCCTTGGAAAATGATCTACAAGAGTCCATCTTATCTTCCCAGAGCCAGCCCAGGAAAGAGGAGGAAAACACGCTCAGACTTTGGGCAGGTGGATCCCAGCAGCCCTGGTGTTTCCTGAAGTAACTGGGTCAGCAGTGCAGGCACTTAGGGCTTAGAGCGTATGGCCTGATCTGGCACAATGCCTATGTGATGATTGTTACAAAGCACAGCTGATCATGGACTCTGTGCCAAGCTCTGACCATAACAACATATTCTCTGTATCATTCCTTAAATCAGACAGCTCATTGCCCTGATATTCCGAGAGGATGGCCAGAGCTCACCACTGTGTACAGCTTGGAACACTCCCATGAACCTCTCCCTATGGTTTTCTCTGCACATCCCTGGCTCCTTTCCCTCTCTATTCTGCAGCTGGTTTATTCACTGTCCAAAGATACTGGCCAGAGAACCCCCCCATCACTCCACCCTTTTTTCCTGGTCCTGGTTTTTTATAGCTATTGGTCTTTTTACTTCCCTGGACACACAGAGGTGGGGGACATCTATGTTTTTAAACCGGCTCCCTCTGTTTATTCTTTCCTCCAATTTGCATTGCTCTCAGTGAGAGTTAGTGGAAAATTCATCTCTGTTCTGGATTTTGATGCTGGGTGAAAGGCGGAGGCAGAGAGAAAGGCTCAGATGCACATGTGTCAAGAGCTTTCTCTGTCCCGGTACCTGCAGGATGACATGAAGAGCAGAGGAAAGAGGTTGGTACATCAGGACCACTGCAGCATTGTCACCCCGTGGCCACATCAAAGGGTTGGGGAAGCAGCTAGTCACTCGGTACTCAGGAGGGAAGGGCAGAGTAGAGTTCTGTGATTGTGCTTGGCTTCGCAGCCCCAGTGAGTCCCATGTGTACTTTTAATATAATGACCTGGACTTTCTATGTGTTCCTCATTATGAAAGACAGACAAGCAAACAAACAAACAAACAAAAACCTAAGTTGTCCATTCTTACCAGCAGTTACAGTCTGGCTTAGATACCTTTCAGAGACCTTAACACTAGAACACATTGCTCCAAGGTGCACCAGCTGGATCCTCTCCTAGCTTACCT